GCAGATACTGTTATTTTAAATCCATAAATTGGACATGGTAATGGGCTAATAAATTAGCTAGTAAAATCATCAAACTTAATAGCAACATTTTGCATATAATATATTTTATACGTATGCACGTATTTAAATTACATTTTAACCATATTCAACCCTATTCAAAAATGTAGTTAGAAAATATTATTTATCAAATCCAAAAATCGTAACAATTATAACTATAATAAAAAGGAGTTATAATTATTATATTTTGCTTTAAATGATTTTAATTATGAATTATAAATAACTAAAATTTTGTTTGATTATCGGTGATCAATGAATAATTATTCACAATTTTTTTTTCGTTAATAAATAACCATTATTGCGACCACATTTTATTTTGTCTATCATAAACATGTTATGACAAAACTATTAATGACCAATATCTGTTATTTTATTCTTTCTTCGTGAATATCCAAAACAAGTAGAAATTGAAAGTTTTTAATCATCGTATTTCTCGAAGAATTTTTTTTTAGTTTTCTGATTGCGTTGTGTACTAAAAAAATCATAAAAATTTTGAAAATAATCGTTATTTTTGGTCCCTAATCAAATCATATCTGCAACCATAGAGACTAGACGGAAGTGAACTAGTGATAGATGAAGAAGTGTACAAAATCAGATAAAGGTACTCACAATTGGCACATTGTATCACAGAAGACTTCATAAGTCTAACTAAAGTTGAAGGTCAAGGACATTTGTCAGCGTTTAGCCTCTTCACTTTTCTTGGACTTATAATTAATTAACACTACATATACATAGATAAAAAAAATGAACGAAGAAAATCTTTAAAAAAGTAGACTAAGAGGAGATATTGACAAACTGATTATGTATGTGTACTGGAAGAAAAATCAAAAAGTCAAGTGATTAGAATGATCATGTTGAACGAGGAATTTTTAATCAAAAGTTTAGAAACTTAAAAGTTATTTGGGCTGTGATAGACTTGTATAAGCAATAGACTTCCCCACAATTTTTTTTTATTATTATAAATTTATTATATTATTATATTATTAATAATATTGGCTGAGGCTTTTTAATATGTTCAGAGCTATACAGAGGTATGAAAAACAATTTCTTTTTCTTTTTTAATTTCTTTCGTTACGAAGACAAATTTGCAGTTTCATAATTTTTTATAATTTCAGCTTACTTAATTTTATTATATTATTATTATTATTTTATGATGTTTTTTTATTTTAATATTTAATAATATTCCATTTTACGTTTTTTTTTTATTTATAATTGGTTATGCATTCGTTATATCGTAATATGTTTTACAATTTTATAATTTATATGGTTTTAGCTTACTATCTTTATTATTATTTTTCTGTTATGTTATCTTATTTTAATTTTTCATAATATTTCATTTTTTACTTATGAATTATTATACTTTTGTTATATCGTTATATTATACCAGTTTTATTATCTGTAATAATGTAATCCTCCTTATTTAATTTTTCCATAATATTTTCTTTCTTAATCACAATTTGTTGTAATTTCGTTACAGTTACTATAATTATTGTATTTACCACCGTATTCAAAAATTTTTTAAAACTTTATTGCAACATATAAAACAATATAAAGAAGAAAGCTGCAAAAAAGTTCGGAATCTAGATATTTTCATCTTTTAAGAAAAAATAACAATTTTTTTAATATTTGCAAGAAAAATTTCTTAAAATTGACCTGTATGTAAAAATAATATTCATTTAAAAATAATGTTGTAGCTTTATATAATGTTGTAAAACAATAGCATACAAATGTATCATTAGTAGATCACAATTAATCAAATCACTAGAATCCCGGAATTTGAGGACTGACAATGAGAAATAATTAGCAAGTTTAAATTATAATTAATGGCTGCATACCCGTATTATAACTTATTAGTTTTCGTAAACCTTTGTGTCATTACACATAGAAACAAATTTAGGTAGGTTCAATTACATAATATATTATCACTAGTCATTAAAAAAAAAAAATTAACAGTAATCCTATGTAATTAGGATAGCTAGTGGTCATTTACGTTTTCTAGTATAAAGAGCCGTAATTATAATACTTAACGCTATAATAGTTACAGAAAAATTTATTAACCTCATATATATATAAATATATATTAAACAATTTTGACCATCAAAGACATTCTTACTATGTAGTTACATAAAATAGCAAATTCGATTATTTATATATATAGCAAAATAGTTAAATACAATTCACTATGTATAATAATTTGTTAAATTCTTATTATAATTTTAATTTATCGTTTGAATTATTGTATCAAGTACTAAAAGGAATATATTAATAAAAAAGAAGAAATTGTATTATATAATAAAAACATAATGGTAAAAACAACATTTTATTTAAGAGTCTAATTTAATAAATTTTTTCTATTTAAACGAACAAGAAAAAAATGGACTTTTTTGTTATATGAAAATAATTTTACCTATCTATTTCATGAAATATAACCTATATATAATTATCAATGAAATCTAAGAAAATTCTAATACGATTCTTTTCTATTTTAACCTTCCAAATTATTTACAAAAATATACGTTTGTTGAATGAAAGAAATATTAGGTTTACCCCAATTTATTTAAATTTATATTTATTTCCGTATAAATATATTGTATAATTATTATATAATTTCAAATATATAAAGCTTTTGAATATTAGAAGTCCATCAGAATGTTTTTCTAAAAAACTTTAAATAAGTTTTAGATATTATTATTATTATTATTAAATATTATTAATCTTATTAATTTGTATCAAAATACGAATATACATTGAAC